TATCATAAAAAAGGTAGGTAGAAAAATTCAATTGGTTTTCAACTAATTTTTTATGAAAAGTGTAGTAGCATAAACATCTTGATTATTTTGTTAATATTTTTATTTAAATTCAAACAAATCAATGAATTGTGACTACTTCACTTATTATGTTGAAGAGACATTGCCAAATTATGTTCAATAGAAATTAAAGGAATGCTTTATATAATTGGACAATAATTAAAATATAATAACATGTGTGGACATGATATGCTAATAAATTGAATTTTGTAGGAAATTATGCAATCGATTGTAAGTATAAAAACAATTATTGATATTAATAAAATCATTGGAGAATTAAATATATTCTATAAAAGATGCAGAAAAAAATAATATTTATCACCTATTCGTATAGGATGTTTATGTATTTTAAATACTACTTAGATTGCTTTGTATAATGATTTAATTCGAAACAAAAAAATAAAATGATAATTTTAATGAAGATTATACAGAAAAGTAAGCATTAATTTTATAAATTTTAGATTTAGAAATGATTTAGCAATGAGTTTCATAATATTAAGAACTAATTAAACTAATTAATTAGATGGATAATTTTTAGAAATGTTTTTAAAGTTAAAATCTAAATCTATACTATTTTATAAGTATTTAATAAAATTTAGTGAATAATTTTCATTAAGAGATTGTTTGTCATCATTAAGATAATTAAAATAGTAATTAATAAAAAAACAAAGAGCATAATTTATTGAAAAACGAGGTTAAATAGATTCAATTAAATAAGATTCAAAAGGAGAATAATCTAATTCATTTTATGAATAAACTGATTTTAGAATTAAAGATAAAAGGTTATAAATAATAATGTAGGGAAAATAACCAAAATAAGAATAACAAAATATATCATTCTAAGATATTTTGAAATAAAAAGAAAATACAAAATTTTTTAATATAACAGAGTCAACTTTATACCGTCCATCTCTAATTAAAAGAACAATAAATGATGGTATTAATGGAAAATACAAAGTATATTAATGATTTTTATAAATTTTAGTTAGGGAATGATATTAAAATAGTAAGAAAAGTTAGTAATTCAAGTATTAAGAAAATTAATAAAACTGAAATATAACCATTTTAAATTTTATAATAAAAATCCTAATTAGAATTTTGTAGAGAGGTAAGTAGAAAGCTATTGAAATTAGAATAGAAGAAAATACTGAATTGGAAGAGTGAGTATTTAGTTGCAGAGACTGAATCTGATAGTGGTTTTAATTGATAATTTAATTAATAAGACTAGTCGTTTTTGTTGTAATCTAAGTTTTTTTTTGTGTTTATTTTTCATATATTTATTTTAATGAAAACATTGTTCTTGATTGGTTTGATAGCAATTGCATTGACTGCTAGAGTGTAAGAAAGAAGTCTGTAAAAAATGACAACAGATTTGAAAAAGAGTACATATGGAAGTGCTCTTCTCCATTTGGTTGAACTCCATTCAATGGCTGGTGGTCCAGTATAAGAATTGATTGATGCTATTGAAGAATTAATTAATGATCTTGAAGAAGAATTGGAAGAATTAGAATTTAATTTCTAATAAAGAACAAATGAACATAATTCTTTAGTCATTGGATATTAATAGGATATATAAGATGCCGTGATTGGTATTTAACAAATAAATATATAGATGTAAACAACACCTAAGATACTTTAGATAATTTATTATTCCCAAGAAGAGAATAACTTTAAGTTAGAATTGAATAAATTTAAGAAAACTAAGAAGCAAATAGAAAAAATTATGATGAAGCTATTCTTACAAGGGAATAAGAACATGAAGATTTTGAATTCTAAGTTGCAGAATTAAATGATGCTACAGCTGCTGTTGATGATGCACTTGCACTTCTTTCTTCATTAACAAATCCATCACTTCTTTAAATTAAGAGATTCTAAAATTCATTAAAAAATATTGAATAAAAGATTAAATCAAGATCAAAGATGGCTCCAATGATTAAAGCACTTATAACTTTAGCTTCAAATTAAAATTTCTCAGATTAAGGAATTATTGGTTAAATTGTTGATGCTCTTAATGAATTCAGAAATGCTATTGTAGATTCAATTAATGCTTAAACAGCTGCTGAAGCTGATGCTTAATCTGAACATGAAGAATATCTTGAATAATTAGATGCTGAATATGCTGAATTCTAAAGATAAATCAATAGAGTGAATGTTGATTTAACTGCAACTAATGGTATTATATATAAATATTATTAATATAGAAAAAATTGATTAATTAAGTGAATTCAGAGATTAAAGAGAAGCAGATAGAAAATAATATACAGCAGAACTTGAATTAGAAAATAATACTTATGCTGAAGAAACTGATATCTACACTAATTTAAAGAATGAGTTCACTAGGGAATTAGGAATCAGTGAATAAGCTTTGTCAGTTGTTTAAAGTGCTGACTTCAAAAACATTTAAGTTTGAAACGAATGATTTTAAGTTTCCATTTAATATGCAAGAATTAATTTTTAATTTCATTTTAAAGTCTCATCTGTTTTATTAAAATTGCAAAATATAATTTATAATTAGAATTATAATTATTTTCTAAGCTTCAAATATGTCTATCAATGTTTTCATCCTTCCAAAAAATAGATAATATTTTATTATTTTAATATATATTTATCATTTTCATTATTTTTGGTTGCAGCAAATCTTTTGAATTATTATCTTAACTTTTTAATAATGATTTGGAAAAATTATATAATAGCAACAATTCAAATTATTTTATTATCTTAAGTAAAATCAATTGATGGAATAATAAATTAACTTAAATCTAAATAAAACGTTACTTAAAATGGTTTTGATCAAAATTCATAATTTATTAAATAAATTTAAGAATCATGTAAATAAAGATTTAATGAAATTTTAAGTAATTATTGAAATTTATAAAAAGAAAAAAAGCTGATGATGAGAGAACTATAAAATTTAAATAGGAAGAATTAAATATAATAAATTTAGAAATCAGAACAACGATATTAATATATAATAAATTTAAGATAGAAGAATTCAAGCAGAAGCAGATAAATTAGAAAAAAATTATTTCAAAGTAATAAGTTCATATCAGGATTAGAAAAAGCAAAAGCAATTTATCACAATTTAAAAGGGCATTTGATATGTTGTTGATGAAAGTGTAAAATTACACAATCATCTATAATGATTATTATAAGATTATACATCTAAGGGTAACTATAAAATTTAGATTAGAACAATAGTTTTTGATAATAGTCCAAAAACCATTTTAAATTATTGATGAAATTGTAGAAGTAATTAAATTATTTAAAACTTAGATTAGGAGATCAATAAAATCAAGGATTATATTAAGTAAAAAAGAATAGATACGGATGATAAAATTATAAACTTTAGCTAATCCTAAATTTAGGCAAAGTCTTGAAAAATAAAAATTATGCTAATTTCAAAATGATGTTGAGCATGAAGAAAAAATTTTAATTATTAAAAATAAAGAATGACTTGATAGTAAAAAAACTTGTAATGTCGATTTAAGGGCTAATTAAAATTTATGATTAATAAAGTATATAATGTATAATAAATTATTAGATTCTATCAAGTAAATATGATTAATGAATGTATATTTAATCCATAAATAAAAAGTTATTTATAAGAATTAGAGATTTGAAAATATCAACAGTATTTATATAATTAATTTATATTTAATATTTTAAAGAGTTTTCAAAAATATTTTATTTTGCTTAAGATGATTTCGTTTGAGGATTAGTAAATAGATTAATTGACTATGTTATAGGTTGAATAATAATGTTTGAAAAAAGATTAAAAAAATAAAATGATGAATGCAAAAAAAATAAAAAATTTCATAAATTATTTTGTGTGTTTTACATTTTCATAATAATTTGATAGAAGAATTTAATAAAGATTAGTTTTAAGGCCATAGAAGCAAATACTATTTGATTAGTTAAATAAACATATTTATAATTTCTATAAATATTACATATATGTTATAATTAGATATCAAGTAAACTAAATTATGATATTAATTTAAAATTTGAAGTGAAATTTATACTTAATAATCAAATGCTCAACTTTTTAATAAATATAAAAATTCTTACGCATTAAGAAAAGCATCATAAGCATCTCAAATAAATCCTTTGAAATTAATTATTTATTCACTCTTATTGAGAAATGATTCATTTGAAAATCCATTTAAAAACAGAATACGGTTTAGCAGTGTATTTATCTGGAAATTCAAAGTATTTGGGATTATGGAATCCTAAATAGGCTATTAGAATGAATTGGACAGAAGTATTATTAAATAAAAGTTTTAGAATGATATTTGGGAGGTTGAAGTAGCCTATCATGAAATGGAATATAAATATTTTATTTCTCAATACGAGAGTGTTTAAACAGTATTATGGGAATCAGGACCTAATAGAGTAACAACAAAACATACAGTCGATATTTGGAACTACAGAAAAGTTTGCTTTTAATGCTTAAATCCTTCAAATTATGAAATTTATATTTCTGGATCACCAGAGAGCTTAGGAAAATTTAAAAAAAGAATAAGAATGAAAAATAAAGAAGGAATTTCAAAATATACCTGTTTTTTAGACATTACTGATTCTTAGATACAATACCAATATCACTTTCTGACTAAAAATGAATTTTCAAGTTCTGTATATAAACTAAATTTCGAATCTGAATGTAATCAGTATTATTTATTAATTTTAGAATCATATTATAAAGATGCTTTACTTGTATATTCAGATGGTCTGTCGAAAGTGAAACAAATGATTTTTTAATTAAATAAAAATATCTGTTACGGATATGTTCCATAATCAAAAGAAGAATATAGAGCATTGAAGAAGTTTAATTTGAAGACAATAGTAGAATTTTGTAATTCTCAAGAGAAGAGTTTATTAGAATAATAACTTTAGAAAGATGATTGTCTACATATGATCATTAATCTTTATCACTTTAAAAAAGAGAATTTCACTCAAAGATTACTTTAACTTATTTAGGTTTTTATCCAAAAATATAAAGTAAATAATTTAAATCTATAAATAGTTTATTTACATATGTAATAATTCGCTCTCTCATCTTAGAAAATATCTACAAGTCTATGAAAAACTCTCAAAATGCAAATGATAGCATTGAATAAAATATTATATTGTGTATATATATCTATTTTAATAAGTAACAAATAATATAAATCATTTTTATTTCTTAACAGTATTTTATAGATAATTCCAATACTATTATTGCTAATCATTCCAATTATGAATTTCTTTATTTAGTGATTCTCCTTCATTATAATTCAACAATATTTCTTATTCAGGATCAATATTTTTAATGGCATAAATAGCCAATTGATACGAACCTAATAATAATTAAATTTTGTTAATTTTTACCACAAGTAAACATTTGTTTTGTTCTACAATTATTTAATTTTAGACTGTTATGATTGATGAATCTACTTTCATTTCCACAAAATCGACTATCTAATGAATATCTTTCATCACTTAATTAATAATTATAAAATGAGAATGTATCATCAAAAGAGTCTCTAATTTCTTCTTCATCATCAATTAGAATTTCACCAATGTATTAAATAATTAATTCACCTTTCATTATAAATTATTTTGAAAATATTCCAAGTCCATTACAAACTGTAGATCTTCCTAAAAGAGTAAGTTTCAAATTTTTTATTAAAATTTAAGTATTTGAACAAATAGATTTAGAATCTGAACTACAACATTTACAAATTAAAGGATCACATTCATTATTATTTTTTCGACATGTACATTTGCCATCTGATGAGCATCTATCTTTGCAATTACATCCCTTAAATTTTTTGATACATAAATTTTAAGAACAATCACAATATTTAGAACAAAATATTTCACATTTACATTGTTAACAATTAAAATCTTATTTATGACAACATTATATATAAAGTGATGCAGATTTAAATGGATTATTAATTAAGGCATTCTAATCCTTTTATTTTTAAATTTATATTATAGTTTTTATATAATGTTCTCTTAATTCATGATATTAAACTCTTGCTAATAAAAATATTGATAAACAATCTATATTATGTTATTTAGCTATTATACATGGATCTTAATCAATTTTTAATTTCTTATATTAATCAATAAAGTTTTAAGGCAAATTTGTTTTTTTTTAATAATTTTAATTGTTAAAATTCTTATAGCATTAATTACTACATGCATATTTTTAATTAAATTGCAAAACATCATTAACCCATACTAATTTCTTACCCTTTATTTTATAATTTAAAGCTTAACAATAATCTAATAAATTTCTTAATTAAGAAATTTTATTATTAAATTAGCAATTGCATTATGATGAAAATCTTAAACAAGAATTACACAAAAAAGCTTGTTCTTTATTTATATATTCATGAGTTTAAAAAGATTTGTATGAAAGCTGTTAAATTTAATGCAAATCAAATTATTATATATAGTTTATCTTTTAAAAAAGTGTTGTTTTAATTTTTTCAAGATGTTTATTTGAAAATTAAAGAAAAATTGAACCCAAAGAATATAAATTTATCTTCAAAAATATATTTTTTTTTGACATCCTATCTTTTAAAAATTTTTATAAATCTTCAAAATTTAGATGTGAGATATTATTCTTCTCTACTATAAATAGATACAATGAATATAATTAAACTAAATAAATAAATATAAAATAGAATTTACTTATATCTAAATGATGTAGAGCATATTTTGCATTTAATTGTATCATTTCAATTATACCATCTTATGATCTCCAAACATCTCTAGGTATTTTTAAGACTTCTAACTTATATTTTTCTCTTTAATCTGTAGTAAAATTATATTTAAAGATAATATCTTAAATTTCCAATCTCTAAATAAAAAAGAAATATACTTTAATATTTTAATCAATTTTCATATATGTTGTATATTAATGTACAGATTATGGATAAATGCTATGTGTAATATTATTATGATTGAAGTTTAAAAGTAAAAATACTTAAGTATCAAGTGGAATATTTGATTTTTAGACATTTTAAACTTATTTATTTTAAGGAATCCATTCTATTTTTGGATATTTTAACAATTTCAGATTTATTTTATTTATTTTTAAAAACTAATCATATCGATATTTTTACTTAATCTATTTATGGCCTCAATATAATTTTAATATTTTGTTCAATCTATTAAATTAAGTTTTCACCTTTGAGTTGAAACTCAAATATCTTTGATACATCTAGAGTTGCTTTTTATCGAAGATTGTAATTCCAAAAAGAATCTATTTCTTCTACTTAATAATTTATTGAAGAGTTTGATCTTGTATTTTTAGAATTATTAGCTATATTTTTAGTCTCTTAATCTTTTTCCATGATAATGATAACTAATTATTTCTAGGCTTAAATTTTCTAGGTTTATTATTTAAGTTTAATTTTTGATAAATTTACTACGCTTTTGTGCAAATTATTAAAAGCATTTTATAATAATGAAAATTAATATAATTAATTTTAATTACTGATTTTATCAGTATTAATAAAATATTTGCATTTCAATATATTGAATAAAATTTAACGTAAATCTAAATAGCTTCTATAAAATATTATAATAGAATAAAAATATGATCAAAAAATCAGTTTTTTAATATTCCATCAGAAGAACATTTTCTTAGAAGGAGTAATTTAAAATTCTTTTGGTAAGCCTTTAGGTGGACTTTTATAAAATGTGAATTCCATCTAATTGGGACTTGCTAATCTAAAATTGGATTTTAATTTATATTAATCATTATTTAATGGAAAATGTAAACTTGTAACTCTTTTGATTTCTGTTCCATCTTCGCTTAACATTTCTATGAGTTTATTTTTTTTATCACTTTCTTCTTTTAATTTTAAGTTTTTTAATAACAGCTAATTAATTAGTGCCTATTTATCTGCATTTTAAGAATTTTATTAAAAATCATTTATTGAAGCAGTTTTGTTTTAATTTAAATCTGTTTATTGTTCAACTTATTTTTTACAACTCTTAAAACTAATAACCTTTATATTTAAATACCTTAGTAATTTTTGCATTTGAATTAATAAAGCAATCAATTTTAGAGATAATTTTTATTTCATTCCCTCTTGCAGATAACAAACATTTGTGATTAAGTGACTTTATTTTTTTTGCAGACATAGTGAGGTTTTTATAAAATGTATTAAATATTATTAAATAATTATTAGTATCATGTACTTTATTCAAATGAAGTATCTCTTTTTACTACAAGGCATTATCTAAAATTCTTTAGGTAATCTTAATTTATGATCTTGAGATTTTGGACTATAGAATGTAAATTTATATTAGTCATCATTAATTATTGATGATTTCAATAAAGGCATTAATTGTTACTATTAAATTTCTTAACTTGGTTCTGTGTTTAGAACAGTGTCTTTTCTCTTTTCTATATATGCTTTAGATGGAGATACTAATTCTTTAATTACTATTTATTTTCGAGAACTTTATTTACGAAATTAAAGACTTTCTTGAAAATATTTATTACTTAGTTAAGATTGAAGTGATTTATTTGTTGCAGAAGTAGTTAAAACTAGTGATAAGTTATATAATTTATACTCTTTTAATCTGAATATTTGATTCTTGTCAATGTTTACTTTGGAATGAAAAACATATTTTCTTAGATGAACTAATCAGAATTTTATTGATTGTTTGTATAACAATTTTATTCAGGATTTTTTAACTTTGTCGGGAGCAATAGTTTATTAATGGTAAAATTAGACATAGATTTTCGATTATTTCTTATTCTTGTTCCAATAGATGTCGAATGCATCAACAATTATCGAGACTTATATGAATTATTTATAAATATATCAAATTAAAGGCAAATCAGAAAAAAAAAAAAAATATGATTTAAAATAATCTAAAAATTAAAATATCCAATCCCTACTGCTTTTATAAAATATCTCTGTATAGAATGAAAAATAAGATAAATTCTTTATATTATAATTCAGATAAAAATTTTAAATTATCGATATTATCAAATAATAACAGAGAGTCATACAAAATATTTTCTTTTGTTAGGGGCAACTTAAAACACTTTTGGAAGTTTACATACACTTGTTTTTTGATTTGGTTCTGGACTAAAGAAAGTAAATAACATTTTATTATCTTTGCTCTCTCCCTCTCTTGTGTAAATAGGTTTTTAAATTTTAATGATTTATTTCTTATCGTTATTTCGAACATTATTTAAAGTATTTACTCTGCTTGATCGTATTGGTTCCAATTCTTCTATTTATTATAATCTATTAATGATTAAATCTTGCACAGAGCTTTTATGAATCAACTTTTAATTTTCTTCTAAAAGTTCTTTAATTTTTGCTTAATATTGTGCATCAGATTAATTAGGTAAATCTATTAAATATTTTAATGAATAATACTTGAGTTTGATAGTGCAGATGAAGTCCAAATCTATGGTGATTTAGGTGACAATTATCTAGAAGGAGTTTGAATTGTTGATTCAGTTGAGTAAATACTTTAAGTTTTTACATTCTTTAATTAAAATTAGTTTTTATGTCTCATTAAGATGTTGATTGTAGAAGTAGATGTCTTCTTTAATCTTGAATTATTTTTATATACAAAACACAAATATTGAAATTAAAATAT